AATACTTCGATAAACATAAGTACATAAATATAGGCTATAAGAATATCAATATTGTCAAGTTCTATTGAATAATATGTCATGTTGAATGAATTTGTTGATATCGCTTTATAGTAAACCTGGCTCTTCAAACACTGTTCTCCTCATCGATCTTTGCTTGTTCGTGCAGAGAATACTGCTAATTATACAGTGGCGTAGCTAAAATAACAAAAACGTAGCGGCGAGAGCGCTCGCCTCTCACCAATGCGACCAGGGTTCGAGTCCCGCTGAGCTTGGTGTCGAAAGTGAGTAGAGTTGTTTGTTGGTTCTCTGTGTTTCCAGGGTTCTCCGGCTTTCATCTCTCCGTAAAAATTAACTCCTAAATTCTAATTGGAATTAAAGTGGATGAATAGCTACTCTGTAGAAATGCCACTGTTAAATACAATTTATTTTTATTTATATTTTATTTATTTATTAACCAAAAAAAGATATTTCCCATCACGTTTATTGACTATTCTTAGAAATATTCGCTTCGAAGTAATCGCTTAGAAATTGGTTACAAATTCGTGTTCACGAGCATAGTATTGATATTTCTAGTTCGGCTGTTTTGAATTACAGGACTGTCTTRAATTACAGCAGTCAACGAAAAAGAGCATGCGATTTACTGCACGTGACCGGCCGGCTCCGCCCTCTCTTTATCACTTGGCAACAAGGTGATATTGATTGGCAGCTGGTACATACTAATTGATCGGACTGTAGACCGGAATTCTATAGTAGAAGACAGCAAAGGTCCCTTGGGTAATGTCCTGAAGACCAATGGCTGCTATTGCGCATCCTTGTCCATTTTGTAGGTGAGGAATCAGGACGACCAGTCACATTGGCTAGAATTTACTCTCCATCAAATCAAGTACCCGAACCACGGCATGAACAAGGCGCACACAAGGCCACCTCAAAAGAAATAAATCAGCCAATCAAAATATTAGAAAATATCGAAAGCACTTCACAGTCAAACGAAAATTGCTTCAGGATCAGAAAGAGATTAAATGTTAAGAAGCCAATTTTCACACATCTTCTGTAACACCTAACTTCTTGATGTTCTGAATGCGCAAGTAAACTTTTTGTGTCTACTGCATATTRATAAGCAGTAGACACTACGCCATCGAGTTTACACAGATATACTTCATATTCTATTTGACTAGCGAAAAATATAGTTAAGGTAGTTCCGGACCCTTGCTACCGCGCATACATTTCGCGCATCTCCTTTTTTACCCTTTATTTGCGCTGTTTTGAAAATTGATTTAATTAATGTCAGAAGTTGAATCCTTTTCTATAACTTAACAAAGTATTTCGCTAATTCATGGAAGTTTTGAGGCAAAAATGAAATGTTTTCAAATCTAGCTTAGATTTTCATTGCCTGACTTGATCACTCTTTTGATTCAAAACAACAAATTCATAACTTTATAAAAGTAAAGTAACAAAAAATGAATTTGACATGTTATTCTCAAAATCAATTCGAAATACGTCTTACATTCTCTGGAGATTACAAAGACGATTTGACATGTTTCAGACGGAGGTTAATGTACTAGAACCCAGTCCCCCGCGGACAGGATTTGTGTTTTTTGACCAAATCAATCAATTAATCAATCAATCAATCAATCAATCAAT